TCTAAAGATTTTTATCACAAAACAAAACAAAAGATCGCATAAGCATTAAACAATGTAACATGGAAGAGCATGAAGCAAATCATAAAGACAAGTGTCGTCTTTGGATTCTCCAAAGATTTTTATGATCGTCATTAACTACTAACACTCACAATCATCTTCCAAGTCAAGCAAATAATTTGGAAAGATAAGCTATTGACAATTTACAGTTTTCTCATTCTTGTCCTTAAGCCGTCGTTAGGACCGATTGAGTTAATCCTCTGACAATGAATTTCAAGTCAAATTTTTTTTTTTTATATTAATCTCTTGGTATCCAATAATTACATTAAGTTCAACTAATTCATAATCGAATCGCATCGGATTCCATAAGGGAGAAGCTCTCCCAGCATATATTTTTTTATTCATGAGACTTGAACTCAAAATTTTAATTAAGAAAAACCGAGCTCCTTTGATTCAAATTAATAAGTCATTGATATTTCAAGTTAATTTTAATGAATGTGACATTACTATTTTTTGTTTTGGTCTTTAAAAATTTACAAACTCTAAAATAAGATTAAATAATTCTATAAATTAATTAAATTTGAAGTTTTTTTTTATCTATATATTAACCTCTTGGTATCCAATAATCATATTGGATTCCTTTGGACCCCATAAAAGGGAAACTCTTTCAATGCTTGTTTCTCTATTTAAGAGATTTGAACTCAAAACCTTATTTGAGAAGAATTTGAGTTCAAATCGAGTTTTTTCCACTTTGACCAACAAATTGTTGGTTAAAATTTTGAAGTTTTTGGTATTTATTTTAAAATTTTATACCCAATAAATTAAAATTTTTTAATTTTTAATTTTGACTTTTAATTACTTAAATTTTGAAAACAAAAAAACTCAAAACTAGAATCATACTAAATAGAGCCTATTAGAATTGTTCTCAGATCACAACTCTAGTAGCATTCTTGACCAATAATATTTTGAAAAGGAAAATTATCCATATAGCCTCCAATTTAATGCACTTTTTAATATATATCTAGTTTAAGTATTAAAATATTATATAAATATAGGTAATTCCATCCATTTTTGTATACTATATGTATATATAGCTATATTTTTAAATTTGTTTGGCTTTAATTTATATTATAAAATAAAAATTTTTAATAAATGTATTATATAGTGTGTTAAATTAAATAATCTACCA